TTCTATTGTTTCGCCTTTGTTTTTCATACCTTCAAGCTCACTCTCATTTCTCAGCTCACTCTCTTTTTTTACTCTCAATTGATCCTCATAAACCTACCTTGGACTCAATGGTGTAAGAGTAATTGTTTTCCCTTCCATGATGAATGAATAGCGATTTTTGAAGCCATCATGTGTTACTCTCCTATCATATTGCCATGGTCTCCCCAAAAGTAAATGTCCAGCATGCATGGGAACCACGTCGCACAGTACCTCATCCTTATATCGTTCGATAGAGAATGAAACCAGAACTTGCTTATTTACCTTGATTTCTCCACAATCATTTAACCATTGCAGCTTATATGGCCTTGGATGCTTCATCATAGGTAAATTAAGTTTTTCAACCAAAACAGTGCTAGCTACATTAGTACAACTGCCACCATCAATAATCACACTACATACCTTATTTTTGATATGGCACATCGTGTGAAATATGTTGTCGCATTGTACTTCATCATCTTCTTTGGCTTGCACATTCAAAGTATGCCTGGTGACAAGCAGTTCTCCATCAACAACATATTCCATGCCATCATCAGCATCTTCCAATGGTGGCATAAAGTCATCATCAGATTCACCCTCTGTTTCAATTTCTCCATCCTCTTTCAAGATCATCGTGTGCTTATTAGGGCATTGCGATGCAATATGCCCTCTTCCCGAGCATCGAAAACACTTGATGTCTCGGTTTTTGCCTTGCATATTATCTGTTTTACTCTTCTCATTGCTGCCAACTTCTTTTGACTTAGATGCTGCAGTTTTAGGCTTAAAAACAGAATTTTCTTCCTTTCTGCTCCAATTCAGTTTCCAAGAAGATGAGGAACCTGAATTTTGCCCAGTTCTGCTAGTGGCTCCTTTACGCTTGAGTTGCCGTTCTACTTTCACCACCATATGCACCATATCTTCCAATTCCACATAATGCTACAGCTCCACCACATTAGCTATATCACGATTTAAACCATGCAGAAACCATGCCATTGTTGCTTCTCTATCCTCTTCGACATTTGCTCTGACCATTGTGATTTCCATCTCCTTGTGATAATCCTCAACGCTTCTGGACCTTTGAGTAAGGCCCTGTAATCGTTGATAGAGATCGCAGTAGTAGTGACTAGGAACAAACCGTTTTCTCATCACAGCCTTCATCTCTTCCCAAGTGTCAAGAGGATGATCTCGATTTCTACGTCAACTAAGCACAAGCTGATCCCACCACACCACAGCATAATCAATAAATTCCACCGCTGCTAGTTTCACCTTTTTCTCCTTAGAGTAGTTATGGCAATCAAACACCAATTCCACCTTCTTTTCCCACTCCAAGTACACATCTGGATCATTTTTGCCTTGAAATGGAGGAATCTTCATCTTGCTG